AAAGTCTCCCCGCCCCCCCCCCCCCGTAAGACGGGGTGGGCAACTCCAGCCTTCCAGCTGTTGTGAAACTACAAGTCCCAGGCTGACCGTCACAGGCATGACTCCCAGAGTCAGAGGCATGTCGGGCTATGTAGTTAAAGCAAAGCAGGAGGGTTGAGGTTGCCCACCCCCTCTGTATATATGGGAAGGGTTGGGGGGATCGGGTGGAGACAAAGCTGACTTTGCATTTTTATAATTGCTCTTAGATAACAATATACAGCGTTATTCACAAAAGGGTGAAGAGTTTGGAGAAGGCCGGAGAAGGGAACAATCTAGGACAACATAACGGATTTGGAAACATTCTCCAATTCAGCTCACTTTCCAGTTCAGCGATGTTATCCTAGATTGTTCTCTTCTCCAAACTCTCCACCCTTCTGTGAATCACCCTGAGAGTCTTTGAGTCATAAAGAGATGAAGATTTTTAACACAGAAAAAAAAAAAAGTCATTTTTTAATTAAAGAAAATAATAATTTTAACATGACTTCCATCCGGAGCAATCAATACAGAATTACTGAGCACATAACACACATGAACATACCGGCATGGTCATTGTTAGCAGGTTTCCTTCCAGGTAATATGCAAATTAAACCAGGGCTGTAGAAATTAAAGATGAATTTCTCGATTAATCATTAAACTTTTTAATCGATTAAAATTATTTTGATCGCTAATGAAAACACTCACCTCTCCGCCGGCTTCCGGGAGTCCCGTCGGCGATGTCACGGACATCGACGTCACCGACATCGACGTCACCGGACTCCTCCCCCCTTCCCCAAGTGGCTCCGTTGGCTAACAAAAGGGAAGGGGGGAGGAGTCCGGTAAAGGTGATGTCAAGCGGCGGCCATATTGAGTGGGGCACGTGAGATTAGTAACGTGCTGGATTAGTGTGATCCTAGTTCATTGTATGACTTCATTGCTGTGCTGTATGTGTATAGGCCAATGTAGTTGCATCTGTATGTGCGTTATAATTAATCGATTAAAAATTTTTTCGATTAATCAAACACGAAAATTGTAATCATTACCAGCCCTAAATGAAACGTCTTACTGTTACATCAGAGAATTTAGGGATTCATTTCTTTTACTATCCGGAAATTACAAGTGAAATTTGGGTTTAGGCCAGAGTGGTGAAATGTTAGAGCAGAGGGTAGCACACGGGCTTTACCTCAGGGGTAGGCAACCTCAATACTCCAACTGTTGTGGAAATACAAGTCCCATGAAGGTGGGGGTGGGCAACTCTGGCCAGCCGGCTGTTGTGGAACTACAGATACCATGAGGCCTTGCACGACTGACAGTTACAGGCATGGCTCCCAGAGAGGCATGTTAAGATGTGTAGGTAAAGCAAAAGCACAGCTGGAGGGCAGGACTTGCCCACCCCTGCCGAAAGCCATTGAAAGACTCTTGACAGCCACAGGCATAACTCCCAGAGAGAAAGAAGCATGATAGGAGTTGTAGTTACACCACAGCTGGGTTGCCTACCTGTGTTAAAGTCTCTGCTTTCACTTACTATGTCCGCTATGATGGGATTTCCCCTCCCGTCCTATCCTGGTGACCACTGTAAGGGAAAAGGAACCTTGAGTGGCGAGTCTCACCTTTCCTCACGGGCTTTAACAAAATCTGTTAGCTGAATAGCAAGGCAGATATTTTGTGGGTGGAGCTAAAGATGGGACCTGTCAATCTGATGCATTTCCTAAAAAAAATGGCTAAACCGTCAGCAGCCCCGCATATAAAAATAATAAGGTGCAAATTGCAGGAGAAGTTTCACTAGACGGCTTTGCTGCTAATGGCGAGAGATGGAAGTGGTATCAAAGTTTGCTGTTCAGCAGCTCCTGCCCGCTCTTCAGTGAGAATCCGCCATCAAAGGCAGCGTTCAGGACATCATCCAGGGCCGACGCTAATATAAAATTCAGATCCCGTCTCACGTTGACGGGAATCTCTTCCAGATCCTTCTCGTTCCTCTGCGGTATAATCACCCGCTTCAGTCCCGCTCTGTGCGCCGCTAGGACTTTGTCTTTAATGCCACCGACCTAGGAGAAGAGGGTGAAAATGAAGATGGCATCCCTGGGAGAAGTCTATATCTGATTCAGAGTACCCATGGCCTACAGCACATGGAGAGAGCAGCAGGGGAATATATTCAGGACCATAGGGTACAGTACTACACTGATGCATGCTGGGTAGGGGTTGATTTACATAGCAGGTAGAAAACTTTAGCTCTGGCAATGATGCATCTGTTACAGTAAAGTCATGTGACCTGTCTTGTCACTTTAAGAGACATGGAGTGGGTGCAACTGGGAATGCGGCACTGCATTGTCAGCCAGCTGTGTATGCCACACTTTGTTTTATAGTAACATGACAGTCAAACATACCACGCTACAGTCTATGGTAGCATTACAGAATGCTCCAACAGGATACTATATTCTACTATACGGAAGTCTAGTGCCATAGCACAATGCTCTACCAGGACGGTATATTATACCAGAGACTTCTGCATGGTTCAATATACCATCCTGGTAGAGTGGTCTGCCATGGTACCAGAGACTTCTGCATGGTTCAATATACCATCCTGGTAGAGTGGTCTGCCATGGTACCAGAGACTTCTGCATGGTTCAATATACCATCCTGGTAGAGCGGTCTGCCATGGTACCAGAGACGTCTGCATGGTACAATATACCATCCTGGTAGAGCGGTCTGCCATGGTACCAGAGACGTCTGCATGGTTCAATATACCATCCTGGTAGAGTGGTCTGCCATGGTACCAGAGACTTCTGTACCTTCCTGCTAGAGCATTCTTCTATGGCACCATGTAGACATCTCTAGTACCATGGCAGACTGCTCTACCAGGATGGTATACTGTACCATGCAGACGTCTCTGGTACCATGGCAGACCGCTCTACCAGGATGGTATATTGTACCATGCAGACGTCTCTGGTACCATGGCAGACCGCTCTACCAGGATGGTATACTGTACCATGCAGACGTCTCTGGTACCATGGCAGACCACTCTACCAGGATGGTATACTGTACCATGCAGACGTCTCTAGTACCATGGCAGACCGCTCTAGCAGGATGGTATACTGTACCATGCAGACGTCTCTGGTACCATGGCAGACTGCTCTACCAGGATGGTATATTGAACCATGCAGAAGTCTCTGGTACCATGGCAGACCACTCTACCAGGATGGTATACTGTACTGGTACCATGGCAGACCACTCTACCAGGATGGTATACTGTACCATGCAGACGTCTCTGGTACCATGGCAGACCGCTCTACCAGGATGGTATATTGTACCATGCAGACGTCTCTGGTACCATGGCAGACCGCTCTACCAGGATGGTATACTGTACCATGCAGACGTCTCTGGTACCATGGCAGACCACTCTACCAGGATGGTATACTGTACCATGCAGACGTCTCTAGTACCATGGCAGACCGCTCTAGCAGGATGGTATACTGTACCATGCAGACGTCTCTGGTACCATGGCAGACCGCTCTACCAGGATGGTATATTGAACCATGCAGACGTCTCTGGTACCATGGCAGAACACGCCATTAGGACAAGACTATTGTACTATGCAGCAGCATGTATGGTTTGTGTTACTCCATCTCCACCAATCACATGAAAATAAGGAAACGCTTGAAATCTGGAGCTTTTGGGCAACTGTTATATCGGACTTAACCAATATATTACCGATTCAGACAGCTCCAACATCTGCTGCAGCACAGTACAAATTGTGCTTGTCATTACATCCCCGCACGTCATCAAATACATGAAATACTGGCAGTGACGGCGATTCCCACAAGAGTTTTACAATCTGACAGCAGAAAGGAGAGATGATGGAGGGAAGGAAGATCTGGCAGCAGTAGTTGTGGGGAATTCAGATCCGGAGAATTGAGGCTTTCAAAGAGGATTCGTTTTTTAGGTTGCACTTCGATTATAGAGGCTGATGGCATGACGGAGGGAATCTGAAGAAGAGAAAGGGGGGGGGGAGCATACAAGAGAAGTTCCGAGATTGTGCGGCCAGGGAGGATACAATCATCTCTGCATCTGCTCGGTTGCTATAGGGCAGCAAAGTTCTCTGAGATGCTTTGACAAAGGGGGCCGGTGCTTAGTCTACGGCTCCAATGACACAATAGAGAACCTATTAGTCTTCAATGGCTCATAGCAACCGAGCTGATTAAAAGCCACCCCGGACAATGACATTGTGAACCTGGCTAGCTGCTGCCGGACGGAGTCCCCATTGTAGACGCTAATGAATGGACCCCCCTCTCCCCTGCGGCAGCTGGCGTGTGACTTACAGGTAGGACGAGTCCCCTCAATGTGATCTCTCCAGTCATGGCGACATCTGAAGACACCAGCCTGCCACTGAAGAGCGAGGCGAGGCAGGTTACTATGGCGACGCCCGCAGACGGACCATCCTTGGTGACGGCCCCAGCTGGAAAGTGCAGATGAATGTCGGTGTTGTCAAGGAGATCAAAGCTGCCAGACGCTGCAAGAGAAGAGGATGCGGCGGTCATGTCATAGGCTACAAACGCAGCTTCTGCAGAGTCTACGTATTGCACGCAACGTTTTCCCAACACGCAATCATAAAAGAAGAACCAAAAGTACTCTGGGCAGACAGATAAAATGCATCAACAAATGCGGTTGTGTATGACGTTATTAATGAATTTTCCCATGCAGCTAGTATGAGTAGCCGAATCTGTGATGATATTAGCCTCCTTGTAACCCCCCCCTCCCAGACGGTGGAGCAACGCTATGCGCCAATCACACCATGCCCGCCATCAAAAGCCTCAAGTTCCCGCTTACCATTGGTCAGCTGATACTTCTTGGCGTTGCTGCGCAGCCAGCTGATGGCGAGATGAGCCGACTCCTTCATGACGTCTCCCAGCTGTCCCGTGAGGGTCAGCTGCCCCTCTCCGTCCATACGGCTGGCCTCCACGAACATGATCTCTCCTCCCAGCGGAGTCCAGGCCAGGCCAATGGCCACGCCGGGCTGGTTCAGCCTCTCGAACACCTGCAGGACAAGACACAAAGGGCCGAAATGAAACCAGGAAGGTGAGTGCCGCGTGGAATGGTATTCCTGGTTGCCGGCTCGCGTCTGCTGATGATAATCCGTTCCCCGCTCGCCTGTGTGACAGACACCAAAATAGCGGAGGCCTTTGTCTGCAGTCTGAGTGCAGAATCAGTGGGCGCAGCAACGCTTCCTGTCACTGTGCATCCCGTATTGCAGAAGGCGTGCAGCGGCGGCATCGCGTAGCCAACGCTCGGAGCAATTAAGAAGAATTCTCTACGAGCTGTCGGGCAATATTTTCCTGGAAATCAAATGCAAATCATCTTCAAAAACAAAACTTCCTCTTGTCTGAAGAGAGTGATACACTGCAACTAAAAATAAAACCCGGCAGTGTGAGGTGGAACGGGGACCTCGAAGGCTGGAAGGCCATGGTGAAGGAATGGATGGAAGGCCATGGTGATGCAATGGATGGAAGGCCATGGTGATGCAATGCATGGAAGGCCATGGTGATGCAATGGATGGAAGGCCATGGTGATGGAATGGATGGAAGACCATGGTGATGCAATGGATGGAAGGCCATGGTGATGCAATGGATGGAAGGCCATGGTGATGCAATGGATGGAAGGCCATGGTGATGCAATGGATGGAAGGCCATGGGGATGCCATGGGGGGAAGGCCATGGTGATGCAATGGGTGGAAGGCCATGGTGATGCAATGGGTGGAAGGCCATGGTGATGCAATGGGTGGAAGGCCATTGTGATGCAATGGGTGGAAGGCCATGGTGATGCAATAAATGGAGCTGTAGCTTGGCTTGGAGGGTAACTACAGAGGTGAAACCCAGTAAAAGTCTTAAGGGGAATATAGTCTAGTACAGTCTTTTATATATGGGTACGAGATCAGCTTAAAGCCCAACTCTACAGCTAAATAGCCCTGCACCAGTGAGAAGAAATAACGCAACGCAATACTGACCACTTCTCCGGCACTGACCCCTGCAAGCACACAGTGCAACTTCTTGGGGGTAAATGACACCCAGCTGACTGCAGGATGTTATGGACCGGCCCTTTGGGGGGGGATGGTGTGTGTGTATCATTATGGTGTCCGGTCTGTACAAGGTAGATAGCACTGCTGACCTCATTACGTAAGCAACACACTCAGTATTACTGAGGACTGTCCACCACCGAAAACAAATAGAAGGGAAGTATTAAGAACAACATATATGGGCAGAGGGTTCCAGGGGGAACCTCAGAATGGAGCCTCTGGTGGTGGGGGGCAAGGGGGTAGGGTATGGAAGGCTCTGGTGGGAAGGACCGAAGAGGTGGGGGGTGTCCAGTGGGGAGAAGCGAGGGGGCGGAGAATGGAGGGCTCTGGGGGAAGAGGATAAGGGGTTGCAGAGCGGAGGGCCAAGGGGTTGGGGTGTAGAGGCCTCCAACGGATAGGGTAGCACAATGAAAGGAGCAGGGATGAAGGCATATATAACTATGTCAGCTACACCCAGGAGGAGGAGGGGGGGGAGGGGGTTATTTAAAGAACACCATTACTAAAAGCTAACATGTCTTTGTACAACATAAAAATGTCACAATAATAATAATTACTGTTGCACAAATTCTGGAGCATGGATTGAACTCGTCAGCAACCATGCAAACTCAGGTTTTGGGGAGTCGACATTCAAGGCCACTGGAGCGATGGGAGAATGTGCCTGAAGCATGATCTGTAAGGTAACACTGGAATCACGCTACGGCCACAACATATATGTGAAGAACACGAGTCAATGGATGAAAAATACTATAAAAAATCATGCGTTCTGAGTGTAAGATGGACGCATTGTATGCAGAGGGGAATATTGTCACACTATAGCGCAGCTTTCCAGGCTTACACAACCACCCAACCAGTGCCAGGCGGAGGACACAATCCCCCAATCTATTCATCTTCCCTCCGCTGTCAGTGTATCCGCCGATTCTATTGTTCTCCTGCAGCAAGTCAACACTGGAGTCCCCTGCAATGTGGCGGAGCAACAATCTGCGCCCTGCAGGCGGAGGACTCCTATCATAGGCCGCCCCGGAGTCCGGGCACAAAAGGACGCTTGTTTCCCATGTACCTCTTACTCCTTAATCCGCTTAGTAGTTTCACTCGCATCATCCTGCCGCCAGACTTCCCTTGTTGATTCAATCATTCTTCCAGGTGTCACGTCACGCAGCTTCCATCTCCCCGGATGCATCGCGCCGTCTGCGCCGCCAGAGACCAGACTGAGCGTGCCAGCCGCAGCCCCTCGTGAGAGCTGACTCACCTTTTCCGCAGGACTCCGCTGTCTGGGATAATCGCTCCGAGCTCTCCCGGGACTATTCCCCCAAGAATTCGGGAGAGCATAAACCCAATACCATACCTTCCACTCTCTAATGGAAGAGATGGCAGCTGCCGGCAGCTTAGGGCCGCTCATGCCAGCAGCATTAGACAATGCTAGCGACAGTGGCGTCACAAGGAGGGTGCGGCCCGCACCCGGGTGACACCAAAATGACTAAGAGTCATTTTGGTATCACCCCCTATGAAAAGTCAGGCGCTCGGTCATGGACTGAGAGCCCAACAGTGTCAGGAGAGAGGAGGGGACCCAGCGGCATACCTCATCCCGCCGGGTGAACGTCCCCTCCTCTCTCTGCCGGCGTCCATTACCAAGATAACCGCCGGCAGGCGTCAATCAGATGGTCGCGCACGCGCGATGATGTCACGGCGGGGTGTCCCTGGCTAGCGGTATATTTGCTGTTATAAAGCAGAATTAAACCTTCCAGTCCACCTTTCACCAGGTGCTTGGGCTACTCACCTGTTCCTCGGAGCCGGCTGGCTGTTAGAGCGCTCCCTCCAGTCTGTCTCCTCCCTTGGTGTCCTCTCGTGCAATGTATAGGATGTGATGACTCAAGGACCTTAGAATGCTGCAGCAGAGGGGGAGCGAGGCTCTAGGGACCGGTCTGTGAGCGAGCAGTGGGGTGGCCACATGTGCAGTGGGGTGGCCACATGGGGGTGCTGTCACTGTTCACATGGGGGTGCTGTCACTGGTCACATGGGGGTGCTGTCACTGGTCACATGGGGGTGCTGTCACTGGTCACATGGGGGTGCTGTCACTGGTCACATGTACATGAAACCATCACAGCACCCTACCTCAGTACTCCACTCAAGAGCCCTCAGTCCTGATACAAGCAGTGGGCCGTCTCTTGGAAGGAGTTATGCAAATATCAAAATGCCCTGATGGGTGGATGTCAGTGTGGAGGAGTGCGTGTTCCTAGGCAGGCTTCATTTGCATGCAGACCACCCTATGTAACGCCCACATGTGATCCTGAGCCTCCAAATCTGAAATCCAATGGGTGGACTTGGGAAAGTCAAGCTTGGGAGCAAACAGCTAGATGATGATGGACGTCCTGCAACCAGGAAATGGGTTGGGCTTTGCCTGACTTGCTGCAACTCCTAATGAGAAGCTCGCAGTGTGCAGTGACATCAGAGGAAGAGGGGAGGAGCCGGTACAACTGTGCAAGACTGAAGGGGAGGACGGAGGTCAGAGAGAAGACTGAAGGGGAGGACGGAGGTCAGAGAGAAGACTGAAGGGGAGGACGGAGGTCAGAGAGAAGACTGAAGGGGAGGACGGAGGTCAGAGAGAAGACTGAAGGGGAGGACGGAGGTCAGAGAGAAGACTGAAGGGGAGGACGGAGGTCAGAGAGAAGACTGAAGGGGAGGACGGAGGTCAGAGAGAAGACTGAAGGGGAGGACGGAGGTCAGAGAGAAGACTGAAGGGGAGGACGGAGGTCAGAGAGAAGACTGAAGGGGAGGACGGAGGTCAGAGAGAAGACTGAAGGGGAGGACGGAGGTCAGAGAGAAGACTGAAGGGGAGGACGGAGGTCAGAGAGAAGACTGAAGGGGAGGACGGAGGTCAGAGAGAAGACTGAAGGGGAGGACGGAGGTCAGAGAGAAGACTGAAGGGAAGGACGGAGGTCAGATAGAAGACTGAAGAGAAGGACGGAGGTCAGATAGAAGACTGAAGGGGAGGACGGCAGTCAGATAGAAGGGTAGGCCGGAGGTCAGATAGAAGAATGAAGGGAAGGATGGAGGTCAGATAGAAGACTGAAGGGAAGGACAGAGGTCAGATAGAAGACTGAAGGGAAGGACAGAGGTCAGATAGAAGACTGAAGGGAAGGACAGAGGTCAGATAGAAGACTGAAGGGAAGGACAGAGGTCAGATAGAAGACTGAAGGGAAGGACAGAGGTCAGATAGAAGACTGAAGGGAAGGACAGAGGTCAGATAGAAGACTGAAGGGAAGGACAGAGGTCAGATAGAAGACTGAAGGGAAGGACAGAGGTCAGATAGAAGACTGAAGGGAAGGACAGAGGTCAGATAGAAGACTGAAGGGAAGGACAGAGGTCAGATAGAAGACTGAAGGGAAGGACAGAGGTCAGATAGAAGACTGAAGGGAAGGACAGAGGTCAGATAGAAGACTGAAGGGAAGGACAGAGGTCAGATAGAAGACTGAAGGGAAGGACAGAGGTCAGATAGAAGACTGAAGGGAAGGACAGAGGTCAGATAGAAGACTGAAGGGAAGGACAGAGGTCAGATAGAAGACTGAAGGGAAGGACAGAGGTCAGATAGAAGACTGAAGGGAAGGACAGAGGTCAGATAGAAGACTGAAGGGAAGGACAGAGGTCAGATAGAAGACTGAAGGGAAGGACAGAGGTCAGATAGAAGACTGAAGGGAAGGACAGAGGTCAGATAGAAGACTGAAGGGAAGGACAGAGGTCAGATAGAAGACTGAAGGGAAGGACAGAGGTCAGATAGAAGACTGAAGGGAAGGACAGAGGTCAGATAGAAGACTGAAGGGAAGGACAGAGGTCAGATAGAAGACTGAAGGGAAGGACAGAGGTCAGATAGAAGACTGAAGGGAAGGACAGAGGTCAGATAGAAGACTGAAGGGAAGGACAGAGGTCAGATAGAAGACTGAAGGGAAGGACAGAGGTCAGATAGAAGACTGAAGGGAAGGACAGAGGTCAGATAGAAGACTGAAGGGAAGGACAGAGGTCAGATAGAAGACTGAAGGGAAGGACAGAGGTCAGATAGAAGACTGAAGGGAAGGACAGAGGTCAGATAGAAGACTGAAGGGAAGGACAGAGGTCAGATAGAAGACTGAAGGGAAGGACAGAGGTCAGATAGAAGACTGAAGGGAAGGACAGAGGTCAGATAGAAGACTGAAGGGAAGGACAGAGGTCAGATAGAAGACTGAAGGGAAGGACAGAGGTCAGATAGAAGACTGAAGGGAAGGACAGAGGTCAGATAGAAGACTGAAGGGAAGGACAGAGGTCAGATAGAAGACTGAAGGGAAGGACAGAGGTCAGATAGAAGACTGAAGGGAAGGACAGAGGTCAGATAGAAGACTGAAGGGAAGGACAGAGGTCAGATAGAAGACTGAAGGGAAGGACAGAGGTCAGATAGAAGACTGAAGGGAAGGACAGAGGTCAGATAGAAGACTGAAGGGAAGGACAGAGGTCAGATAGAAGACTGAAGGGAAGGACAGAGGTCAGATAGAAGACTGAAGGGAAGGACAGAGGTCAGATAGAAGACTGAAGGGAAGGACAGAGGTCAGATAGAAGACTGAAGGGAAGGACAGAGGTCAGATAGAAGACTGAAGGGAAGGACAGAGGTCAGATAGAAGACTGAAGGGAAGGACAGAGGTCAGATAGAAGACTGAAGGGAAGGACAGAGGTCAGATAGAAGACTGAAGGGAAGGACAGAGGTCAGATAGAAGACTGAAGGGGAGGCCGGAGGTCAGATAGCAGATTGAAGGGTAGGCTGGAGGTCAGATAGCAGATTAAAGGGAAGGCCGGAGGTCAGATATAAGACTGAAGGGGAGGCCGGAGGTCAGATAGAAGACTGAAGGGGAGGACGGAGGTCAGATAGAAGACTGAAGGGAAGGCCGGCATTCAGCTTTAATACATAATTAATGTGTTTCAGTACAAGCGCTGGCTCTGGGTTGGTATCAGCCTCTTGCAGTGCCTGTACAGCAAGGCTCAGACTGGAAAAAGAAGCAGCCCCAGTAGCCAGTCAGCTGTGCTGCAGTGCTCATGCCAGCTAGAAGCATGCTGATAGTAAGAGAAAACAGTCTGCAGCTTCTCCATCCACTGCCCAATCACAGGCTGGGGGCGGGACAAGACCTGTAAGGGTTACTAAATTGCAGCAGAGAAAAATCTGTCTGTCCTGCCAGAGTGGGCTGTGCTGTGCTGTGTGGCAGAGCTGTGTTATTCTAAAAAGTGGATGGACAGAAATACAAACCCTTTAGCTCCCTCACATGAGGTTTGTCCGGAGTTCAGTCCTTCCACAATCACATTGCACACGCTTCCCTCCCAACACCCCGGGGTCAGTTCTATTCCGAGGTCAATAGGAAGGTCAACGAATTAGCTTCACAATAAAAAGTCATTGCAGACGAAGCGTTCTCACCAGACGCTCTCTTACCTCGACCTCGTATTTTGGTGTTCCCAGAATATCTTTCAGCGCGTGACGGTCAATCAGTATTGGCATTTCGGGAGGGAGGGTCAAGTCTGCGGGGTCACCGACGTCCCCCCGGGCTCTGGAGTCCTCTGACAGGCCGGCTTTGCTATCTGCGATAAGGAAATCACAAGGGATTAGAGGGAGCCGAGACGCAGTGACACTGCAATGGAGATGAATCGCCACCTCAGCCAGCAGACACCCTCTGTAATGAGCAGGAGAAGATGCTCATCTGTGTCCTGCCACTGACCCTGAGCGACCCTCATCTCCAAATTACATTCCCTGTGCACAGATAAGGGGGGGGGATTGTGT